AATGTAACCTGTAAACTTTAATGAAAGAAAAATAGGAGCTGTTGTCTATACTCAGCACTGTAGAATCCTGGGGAAAGAAGGTTGCAAGAGATGTGCAGAGAGGGATGTTACTGAATGATAAAATTTTGAAATGACAAAAAGAAGAAATGAAGACAGTATGTGGTCAGAAATTAAAGAGAGAATTAGGCTGAGAAGGAAATTCTTGTGGTTTTAGGCAGTAACATGAACCTCAGATGGGCAAATGCATTTCTTCTGTATCTTCACTGTGCCACTGCAGAGAAGTTGGCAAAATGATACTATTGGGGGAACAGTGTCAAAATACACAAAGAATCTTTGTGTGTTATCTTGGACATTTACAGGTGTATTTCTAACTACTTACAAATATAATAATTAATTAAAAAGTAAACATGATACCACCTAGAGATGCATGTAAAACAACTTTTTTTCCAGAAAACTTTGTTTCGAATTAAAACCATATCTACTATACTTTACTCTTGTTTGCTCTTCTGAGTTCCAGCATAATCAGAATGATTTTTAGCAATCCGGGAAGACTTTGCATCTACAAAGTTAATGCATGCAAAAATAACTAAAAGGTGACAGCATTTAAAAGGTATTTATATCAACATGAATATGTGTTATTTTCATAGTCCTGATTTTCAGTGGAATTTTAACAAACAAATATTCAAAGGATTAATTCCCATATAACACCATTTCTCATAAGTGTAGCCTTCCTTACATTGGTAATTTTGCCATTCATTCTTATTATTGACACTGACACATAATAATTTTCCTTTTAATTTGTAGTATGTTTATTTCTCATTTTTATATCACAATTAAGGGTTGACTATTTTAAGGCATTAATCCTCTGTCCCACATGGTCTGAATTCTGTGATCGGTGCATGGTAGTATTATGTATATCATCTATCCAAAACAAGAATCCCATGGGGAAGAATGTTCCTTTTAATGAATAAAGTCGTGGTGAGTATTGTGTGGTATATGTCAGCTGTGTAGGTTCCATAAATTGTCATTATTGAAGCCAGAACCTGGCCTGAGGCCTGTAGGGCTCCAGTGTTCATGGTGTTTCCGTCTAGCCTGTAGTACCCATGCCACAGTGATACTCATATCCACTCTGACATTGTGTTATACGCATGTACCTTATTTAAAATGCTAAGACTTAACTGTGTGTGGTGGTCCATGACTTTAATCCCAGTACCCCAGACAGAGAAAGTTAGATCTCGGTGAGATTAAGGCCAACCTGGTCTAAATACCCAGTTCCAGTTGAACTAAGACTTCAGGGAATCACTGTCTCAAAACAAAGAAAACCCAAACAAACCTTAAGAAATGCTAAGGCTTCATTTATAAAGTTATTTTTAAAAACATTTAATTATGGAACATACAAATAATGTGTTTTGATCAAATACATCCCCATTCTCTCTTCTCCCGTTCTTCACCTTCACCACCACTTTTCTCCCCCAACTTCATGTGTTCCTTGATTTTGTTTTTGGTAATTTTGAGACAGGTTTTCCCTGTATCCCCTGCTGTCCTGGAACTCACTATGTAGACCAGGCCTGCCTTGAGCTCAGAGAAATCTGCCTGTCTCTGTCTCCTGAGCACTGGGATTGAAGGCTTCCTCCACCACACTAAGGTCCTCCCTTTAATTTAACGCCCACTGAGTCCATTTAGTGCTGCCTGTATGTGCATGCATGTGGGACCATCTACTGGAGCATGGGGAGCCTGTCTGGACCTCACCCCTGAAGAGAAGTGACTCACCCTACTCCAGCAGCCGCCAACTGCTTATAGAGCCACAGGATGGGCATTCACGAGCCTCTCTCACACCTATGATGGGATTTTGGTTAGCTTGATCCCACACACTTGTCCATTCACACCCAGTCTCAGTCACACCCATCATGCTCAGAGACTTTCTCAGACAAGAAGCACTTACTCTTGTGTCTGGCTGTGGCCCCACTGTGGTGACAGTAGAGTGCTTCCTACTGGCTGTCATTGCCTATGATGGTTATGTGACCATCTGCTCTACTCCACACAGATGTCCTCCAGAGTCTGCATTCTCCTGGGGGGGGGGCTTCCTACCTATGTGGATATGTGAACACTTGGATAATTTCTGGCTGTTTATTAAATCTGTCCCTTTGTGGACCACATACATTTAATCACTTTTGAAGCTTTTTTATTCTCATTACTTATTCTGAAGTAATTCCAGAGAGCTCTTCTGGCCCCATCATCACTGTGTTCATCATTGCTCTGTCTTATGTATGTCGCTTTCTCAATCCTGAAGATGTTCTCTAAAGAGAGTTACCAGAAATTCTCCACCTGCACTTCCCACCTCACTGGAATCATTCTATTTTATGAGACTCTCACATTTATTTGTGTGATGCCCAAGTGCTCGGATTAAAGGCCTGTACCACCATGCCCTGCTTATATAGACTTTTGAATGCTCTATTTTCTTTTTGCCCCTGAAACTGAAAAATTTTAATTTCTCATGCATAATTTCACAAGAAATCTGGTGCAAACTTAGAAATGCTGTCTCTGATCCAGACTTATTTTTATTTTCAGAATTTAAATTCCTATTATTTTCAACCTCATTTCTTTTTATATTTCAACTGTCTTTTTTAATGAATATAATTTAGTAAAATTATCACATCTTAAGAACATGATATATTTCTTTAATAAAAATGTAAACATCAGATTAATCAAGATTTTTTTCTCATATTTAAATTTAAATAACCAGTTATATGAATTAAATCTTCTGTTCAAAATAACCAGTGTTTATTAATCTTTTATGCCAATCTTCCCTCAACTGAAGGAGACTTATTTCAAATCAAGCACTACATAAAAGGCACAAAATAGTATCATATGCTCTAGAAATAGCTCATCTATATCAAGAGACAGGTAGAGTATGTCGTATGGCCTCTTGGAGGCTTTTCCAGTAGTAAGAACAATTTGCTGACTGGTTGTATGGGTTCACATGATAAATTTTTATTTTTAGAGTTTAAACATGAAAACACAAGAAAGAAGAATTTAAATGTTTAATTGGTTTGGGGAATGATGTAAAAGAACACCAAAGAGAACTCTTCCCATGTGTACGCCTTCCAGA